GGATGTGGGTGGGATGCTTTTTTAACGTTCCCTTGCTGTTGTTTGAGCTTCTCATCTGTTAAGACTCCTATTTTAATAAAACCTCAAGGAAAGCGCATAGGAGAATTAGCCACATTTTTGCACAAACCTAAATCCTATTTTGAAAATCATATTGAGTAGGGTGTTCAGTTGTTTTCTCATCTGGAGAAGAATGTAGGGGTTTATTAGCCTGCTTTTTTTTTTTAAGATTTATTTATGCATATAAGAATTGGGGGACAGGTCAGAGGGGCAGTGGGTGAGAAGACTCACCAGAGACAGAGTGGGGAGCAGAACAGGCAGATCTACTGAAATCTACTGCTGAGGTGAGCAGCAGGGAGACAGGGGAGATCTGCTGTGCTCTGGGGATCACCTCCCTGGCGGGGGATCCAATTTGTGCCGCAGTGGCTGGGGACAGCTTCACATTGCTGAAACTCAACCCCTGTGCCACCAGGGAGGGACTAAAACAGTTATTGATGACATTTTCTATTTTGTTCCCAAAGCCCTTTATGCTCAAAGTGACCAAACATGAGTCCTGGCGCCCTCTCCTGGGGGTGGACACCTGGGTCCACTCTTGACCCAAGATGTTTCCCTCCCTGCCACACTCACCCACTACCACACCCAGCTGGGAACAGGTTTTCAAACCACCTGCAAGTCTGACCTCCCTGCTTCCTATCACCCCAAGCTTCCTCTTCTCACCTGAATTCGCCCCAGGGCTGAGGCTACCACATTCCATCTTGGCCGGCCAGAAAGCCTCGAGGACTCTGAGGGCTCGCAGTGTTCTCTCCTCAGGCAGATGCCACTGAGTCACTGAGTGATTACATGGAAATGTATTCTTTTTTTTTTTTTTTAAGATTTATTTATTTATGCTTACAGAACTGGGGTACAGGCCAGAAGTGCAGAGGCAGTGAGAGGATTCACCAGAGACAGAGTGGGGAGCAGAACAAGCAGACTCACAATGTACACTGCTGAGGGGAGCAGTGAGTGGGGTCAGGAGAGGTCTGCCGTGCCACGTGGGTCATCTCCCTGGCCAGGGCTTGAACTCATGCTGCAGTGGCTTCAGAGAGCTTCATAATGCAGTGCTTTAACCCAACGCACCACCAGGAAGAGCCCAGAAATGTATTCTTTACTAACACAGATGGGGTTTTGTTTTACTGTTTTCCAATTTCGTGAAGGGAAAAAGCACAATGAAATAAATAAACCCCAAAGGAAAGTGCCCATGAAACCCTCCATCTTCCAATCTGGAAGTGATGATGTCAAGGCAGAAAGCTAGCAGACTGGGTGTCTGGGATCTTCCCGTCACCATCTGCCGGCTCCATGGAGCTCGGGGACAGCAAGGCGACTGTCCTCAGTGGGGTCACTGCTGAGCATGTGTTCTGTGGGGTTCTTTTGGCTGTTAACCATGACGATTGGAGCGAGTGGATGTCAGGTAGGAATTTGAGTGAGTGAGCGAGGCAGCGTGAGAGGTGGTCCTGGAGGTGGGGCCTTAGCTCTCAGGGCACTGCGTGGTAATGACCTCTGGGAAGGGAAGGCAGGCCTCTGAGGAGTGGGGGAACATGCCAGCCTCCCTTTGTGTTTTGTTCTGTTTTTCCCCATTTGAGGCAAGATTGGGGGCTGGGGAGCAACCCATCTTCTGAGGCGGGGTGGGCCCGAAGCGCCCAAAAAGGAGTTGAGTTAGCCTTTGGGCATGAGCTCCTGGGGTATGCCCGCCCAGGGCCCTGGAAGCTCTGCCAGCTGCCCCACACGAACTTATGGCTCGGACTTAACACTCACCAGTGTGCGGGAGGCCAAGGCTCCCCTCTGCAGACAGAGGCCAGACCTGAGGATCGTTCCGAGTACAACCCACTGCCTTTTTCCTTCTTTTACTCCTTCACTCATCAAAAGAGAAAAAAGATAGTTCGTGTCCGTGTGTGCTTTGTGATATGTGTTATTTGACTTATTTCTCAAAGCATCCCCTCAAGGTAGATACTCATATCTCCATTGATATGATCCAGGAATCTGAGCAGCTACCCAGTCAGTGTCCTACAGCCAGTAAGATAATTAGGATCAGACCCAGGCTTGTCTGCCTCTGGGACCATGCTCATCCATTAAGTAAAGTTTAAATCAAGTCTGTTAGCACATTCCAGATCTGCAGGTACAGGGGAGCTATGCAGGTGAGGGCTGTGGCCCTGGCCCTTCTCTACCGGGGTGGCCTGGCCTCCGCTCGCTCGAGAAGAGGTGTCTGTCTCGTCAGCCAGCGCTGAAGTGGCAGGGCGGGTAAACTGCCTCTTTCGCACATGGCCGGCACTCCCAATCTTGTTTAACGGTTGACAAGCTGTTAGATCACAATGGGTCAGGAATTCCTGTATCTCCATTTGCTTCTCTGCAAAATGAACACCACAGTCTCTTTTCTATGTGGACTTTGAAAAGCAGCGAGGGTCTGTGTTAGGCATGTAAAGAGCATTTCTTCAAAGTGAGTGGAAGCAAAGTGAACTTCTCTTGGGTAGACGTGCTCTCCCCCTTCAAATACGCAGTCATGTGGGGGCTCCATCCTCCTGCCCCCCCCAACTCAGCAGGCCACCAAGTCTTGCTTTCAGTGAGTGCCACTGAAAAGCCAAAGCAAGCTGACTACAAACTTCTTACCATATGCCCCTCATCTGCTTTGCAGAAATCCCTGTTACTGCTTAATAGTTCCCGTCTTCTTTTTTAGTAGTGAAACCAGTTGAGGCCTTAAGTCAGCACCATTCGCCCCATCTTGAGCCATCCGAGAAACCCCTTGAGCGTCGTATGAAGCCATCCGCCCCCTCCGGCATCACCTGCTGCGGGGCTGGGCAGTGCCCGTGAGGCATACCTGTAACAGGGCCCTGCAGAGCTCTGGCCACAGTCTTGGGGGGCCACATGAACGCCAGGTCCCGGGGAGCCGGGACTGACTCCCAACGAGGGGCGAGCAGATACGTAGCCCACAAAGCAGCCGTCTACAGCTGGAGTCGGCTTTGCCATTTATGCCACAGCCCCCTTTGCCGAAGCTCGTGGCCTTGGGGGAAGAAGAGAGACAACTTGCACGCAGCCGCGCCAAGCGCTTGCTTCCCAGAAGGCGCAAGGCAGACGCCTCAGGGGTTCAAAAAGGAAGCGGATATGGTCTTCCTCATCGTTCTGGCTTTCCCTTCTAGAACGCTCCCATTGCGTTAAGGTGATTCCCTGGGAAGCTCTGGCTACTGCCAGAACATAAATGCAATGCTCAGGCAGCTCTAATTCCTCAGAAACTGAAGCGCGTCAGCTTGAGCTCTGATTTCGCAGATGAGAATTAGTCGGTAGCCTGCCTCGCCCGTGGTCACGACCTCGACAGTGACACTGGCCAGCAATGGGGCTTGGGGCTCCTCTGCCCGGCCAGCTGCTCACTTGCTTCCCCCAGGGGTATTTACAATAGTGGCCTTTTCCCAATTTGTGGAACAAACATTTATCTTTCTTCTCTTAAAGGAGCCTTAGGCAGGAACGGGATCATATTTCCTGAAATGACTCTAAAATCAGCAGTTATTTGTATCTAATTCCGCTTCTTCCTTGGAATTTCTTTGGGGAAATTCTTTTCACTGAGGAAGAGCTGATATTACTTGGATGAATTTAACTCTGTCAAAATGTAACCCTGAAGACATTATCAGCAGGAGCGAAATTTGTATTTCCGCCCCCAGCTCATGACCACGACTGTGGTATAGGCCGAGGCTGCCCCCAGCCCCAGTTAAAACTTGATGACGGCTCCTCTTGGAGGTGTCTGTCGCCTGTGTGCCCACCTGGGCCTTCGCCCTTCACGCCGAGGGTGGCTCTTGTCTCCCGATGTGGCTGGAATGCCGCTGGTTCCCTTCACGTTCTCCTCACTGGAGCACCTGTCTCTGCTCCTTTCCATTTAAAATCCCTTTGCCCATTCCTTGCAGCCCCGAAGACCCCCAACAGGAGCTGTGGCAGACACTGTGTCCCAAGGTGAATAATAGTGCTCAGCATTTCTGGGCGAGTCCCAACCTTGCCCTGAAGGAGGAATTCTACATGGCAGACTCCCTAAAGAAGACGAAGTGGCCGGGGCTTCTGGAATTTAAATGGGACGTCCGGCAGCCCCAGTTATCACCGTGACTTCTAATGGCAGAGACAGGACACAGGGACCTGCCACTGCTTCCTAGCCCTGGGGCTAGCCCTAGCCCCCCTTCAGCATTCTAAAGCTGTGTGGGAGCAGACTGGACGTAGGCTAGATGGAACTGTCCCCTGGGGGTGCCTTAGCCAGCGGTCCAGTTCCGAGAGGCACCTGATACCCGGGCGCCCCTTCCAAGGGCAGATTCAGGGATCATCGCACAGGGACTTACCAGACAAGCACGTTCTGATCCTACCAGAACTCTCCCAGAATCAGAACCAAACACTGGAGGTGCGGCCCTCTGGGTTCTAAAGTCTCATGGACATTCGGGTTTAAGACTCCCCACTCAGGGCACTTTGGGGTTTGTGTCTTTGATGCGCGACGCTACCCGCATGTGAAGGTCAGCTGGGGGGGGGGGCTTTCCTATACTGTGGAAACGGAACCGGGGGCAGTTTTTGATTCCAGCTTGAGATGACTGACCTAAAAGCAGTTTCCCATCTCTGAATACAGAAAATGGAACCAAAGTGGCTGAGCCACATGCCAGAGTTACTGGGGTGTAGTGTGGCAGTGCTAAGTAGAACCCTGACATCCTGACAGCATGGCCTCTTGGGCTCTTGGCCGTATAAGCCTCTATGACTGCCGTCATGATTTTTATCGCAGTCTCTGAGATGGGGCCGGTGTTCCAAAGGGCAGGGACAGAGCTGCCTGGTCATGATGATTTATTTCCAGATTAGCCCTGCTGACTCTAACTTAGTTCTCAAAATGGCGCTCATATGTCTTTCACGTGCCAGGACGCTCTCCCATCCGCACAGCTTCCTACCTGGGCCACTCTGCTCAGCCCTCCTAGGCGTTAACCTTGACCTTGCAGCCTGCCCAGCCCCGCATTTCCTCTGAAATCCAGGTCCTGCTCTGCTGCCCTGTATTTTTGGAGGACAAACGATGGCAAAGTAACAATGGGCCCCTGGCTAAAATACCATTCCGTCTTGTTCACTGAGAATGGTGAAAGTTGATTTGAACCTGATTTCCAGAGGACTTACTGGAAAGTGAATCTGATGGTCAGAGTGGCCAAGGGAGTACTTACTTATGGAAAAGCAAGGTTTAGCAGGGCTTTCACAGAGAGTTCTTTAGTCGCCTTCCTCGTGCAACGCGATAGCGCGAGTGTCTGTCTACCTCGTGTCTCCGTGTCTGTCGTGTCAGTCTGAAGGGACAGGGGTGTCACTTAGCATTTCTGCTGGGTTAAGAGAAAGCAGTGGTTCTGAGCCACTCAGCCCTGGTGACGGACCCGGGGGGCCTGAGGGTCCCTCCTGCGCGTCTCGCGTCTGGCTGGACCCGAAGCCCCTCTCGTGGCTTCTGCCTCAGTGGTTTCCGTGGTCTGTTTTTCAGGGGGCAGCACTGGCACTTCCCCCACCACCTCCAGCACCGGGACTCCGTCCCCTTCAGCCTCTTCTCACCTGCTGTCTCCATCCTGCTCTCCGCCAACCTTCCATCTGGCCCCCAACACTTTCAACGTGGGCTGCCGAGAGAGCCAGCTGTGCAACCTGAACCTCTCCGAGTACCCACCGTGCGCCCGCAGCAACATGGCCGCCCTGCAGAGCTACCCGGGGCTGAGTGACAGTGGCTACAACCGGCTGCAGAGCGGCGCGGCCTCGGCCACTCAGCCCTCGGAAACCTTCATGCCTCAGAGGACTCCATCCCTGATCTCAGGAATCCCGACGCCGCCCTCGTTGCCCAGCAACAGCAAGATGGAGGCTTACGGCGGTCAGCTGGGGTCCTTCCCCGCCTCGCAGTTCCAGTACGTCATGCAGGCGGGCAACGCCGCGTCGGGCTCGTCCTCGCCACACGTGTTTGGGGGCGGCCACGTGCAGCAGAGCTCCTACAACGCCTTCTCGCTCCACAACCCTTACAACCTGTACGGATACAATTTCCCCACTTCTCCGCGGCTAGCCGCTAGCCCGGAAAAACTGAGCGCCTCCCAAAGCACTTTACTCTGCTCGTCTCCGTCCAACGGGGCCTTCGGGGAGCGGCCGTACCTGCCCGCGGGGATGGAGCACGGCATGCACATGATCAGCCCCGCGGCCAACAGCCAGCAGGCCGCCAACGCCTGCGACGGCCGGCAGTACGGCGCCGTCCCGGGCTCCTCGCCGCAGATGTCCGTGCACATGGTGTAGGCCGCCCCGCGGCGCCCCAGCCGCGGCCGGGTGGCCACGGGCAGCCCCCACCCCGACAGCCCACCACCTTGGGAACACAGGAACTGCGGGCGCGCCTTTCTTGTCTGCAGGACAAAGCCCAGACCCCGGAACCAGAGACATTGAGCCCGCGAAGGACGCGCGCGCGCGGCGCCCTGGCCCGCCAGCGGCCCTTCGCTCTCCGCCTGCCCGGACCTTGCTTTATAAACCGGCACCGACTCCCCAGTGGCCTCCGAAGAAACTGATAATCACTTTATAGCTCCGTTAAGGGAGACGCTGGCGTGCAGCAGCCACGGGAAGTGGCCTCCCGCGTGCAGACTCCGCGGGCATCCGTGGACTCCGTGTGCTCATGTCCACACTCACGCGCAGACACGCATCACCCCTGCCGGAGACGGCGAACTCTGCAGGGGGCCCGGGATGGTGCCTCCCCGGAGTCTGTGTCCCACACAGGATGGACTAGCCGGCAGCAGCTGCCAGCCCTCCCCCGCAGCTTACCTGGTTCCTGGACTGGACCGCGTCGCCCGCAGCCCTCCCGGTCACCAAGAGTGGAGCGACATCAGCTTTGCGGCTGACTCGGTTTCCTGGAGAAGGTTGTGTTTGAACTTTAGCTTTTTTTTTTTTCCCCTCAGTGCCATCACCGATGTTCTAAGTGACACCTGTGCTAAGAAGGCGTAGGAGCAGCTGACGTGGAGAGTGAGAGCGGGAGAGAGAGAGAGAGAGAGAGAGAGAGAGAGGGAGAGAGAGGGAGAGAGAGCGCGCGCGCGGAGCGAGAGCATCTCTGAGACAGGGAGCGATGACGAGAGTTCGACTCACTAAGGAAATCGGGCTGGGGTTGCCCACCGACAGGTCATGGAAAGAATCGCTGCGTCACTGAGATCGAATCTCTCTGGGGCACCTTGCAAGGTCGGGGCTTCACCAGGAGGCCCCGGGGTGGGGAAGCGGATCCACGCACGCCCCTGGCCACGGGATCCAGAAGCAGCTCAGCCCCCAGGAAGGGTGCCCCAGGCAGGGCGCCGACAGTAGAGAGCGTGTGCCCAGGAAGAGCTTGTACCCCAGCAGATGACGCCAGGGGCAGAGGCGCCGCTTTCAGGCCTGGCCTTCTGCAGGCAGGTCCAGACCCTGCCCAGGGCTCCCGCTCCGTGGCCGCCGGGCAGGAGCACTGTCCTGGAGCGCCGCTAGTGGGCCCTCTGCCCCTCCCCCTGCCCTAAAGCCCTGTTTGTATCAAATAGTTCATTGCATTTGAAGTTTTGGGTTTTTCCCCTTCATCTTTCCCCTCCCTTTCAAATCCTTTCATGATAAGAAAACAAGTGAAGTTTGGTATAAGCTAAACTTTTTAAGTGGTGTGGAAATGCAAATAATACCAAGTAAAATAATACAGATATTATTAAGATTTTTGGTTTTGAGGTGTTGTAGATAAGTATATTTATGTGCCTAGTGGGGAATCCAATATTATGAATATTAAAAAAGGGGGCAATAAAAAGGGTATGTAAAATATGTATGAAGGAAAGGTGTATTAAAGTTTGCCCTTATGCACGGAACTTTGTTTCTAAGTGCCAAGCACAAAAAGCCGCTAAATAAAATCTTTGCAATTGTTTTCTGCGTTCTCATTCGTATGAAAGGGCAAATAGCAGCCTGAGGATTTGTACGAGGCTCTCCAGGGAGCACAGCGCTCCTCTGCATGGTTTGTGTCATTGTTAGATAAACCCCACGGACAAAACGTTACCAGCCTCATTTCATGACTAGTAACTGAGCTCCAGAGAGATTGAGTGAATTATCCAGGATCAAACAGCTCACAGAGAGGGAACCAGGAATCGAGATCAAATATGACCTGGCAGGGAATTTCCTCTAGCTGCAGGAACTGCGGGAGCCTGAAGCCAACCTCAGCTATCCGCGGGCAGACTCTGCCCGGTTGTGCTACGTGAGTATCTTTTTTTTTTTTTTAAAAGATTTATTTATTTATGCATACAGAACTGGGGTACAAGCCAGAGGTGCAGGGGGCGGTGAGAGGATTCATCAGAGAGAGAGTGGGGAGCAGAACAGGCAGGCTGATGAGGTACACTGCTGAGGGGAGCAGTGGGTAAGACAGGAGAGGTCTGCCGCGCCATGTGGGTCACCTCTGGGCAGGCGGGGATCGAACTCATGCAGAAGTGGCTTTAGCTTCTTAGTGCTGAGCTTTAACCCGCTGCACCACCAGAGAGGGCCTGCTAAGTCACTATCTTACCCAGTCCTCCCACGTCTGTGAGATAGACTATTTTTATCATTACTTTGCAGACATGAAAACCAGTTTCTAAAAGGTTAAGTACTTAATCAAGGCTTCAGGTAGCACATGACTGAGCTGGGAATTCGATCTTCAGTTCCATGCAATTAGCACAAACTTCTTCCACCGGGTCTCTGCCTCACCGTGAGGCCCGGGATATCCAGCAGAGATCCACCCAAGCAGCCGATGGGCCTCTGAGCTGGACGGACGTGGTGTGTTCAAGAGGAAATGTCCACGTGCCCTCTGCTGGACTGCCACAGCCTGGGAGGGTGAGTCCGAGTCCTGTCCCAAACGCCTCCTAACGGGCAAGTCCAGGGTCTAGGGCTGTTCTGTAAGTGTCTTCACGTATTATCACACCGGAGCTTCCCGGTAACTCTGAGAGATGGGGCGGGAAGGACTCTCTCCTCGTGCAAGACTAGAATTGTAAAGCAGTGGCCTGTGGCTTCCACGTGGCTGCGAGGCAGCCATCAGCCCTGAGTTGGCTCTCAGCCCTGTCCAGACGGTTCCCCAGGGGGCGTTCCGCTGGGCACACTGACCTGTATCACCAGAGCTGCCGGTGCTCTGGGTCACACGTAATCATCAAAGCCCGCAGCCAACTTCACATTAGCAATCTCCATGTCTTCACTTTAACAGGAATAGTCATTTCAAAAATCATTTAAGAGTAGGAAGCACAAATGTTCTGCACTTTGGATTAATTCAAACAATCCAAATCTGTTGTATCTGAATTATGGCCTATCTTTTTATCTGTAACGAAGAAAGCGAAAACATTTATTCTGACACAAACTGGATAAATAATTGTCAAGAATGTGCTCTATTCTCCTTAGAGAAATAGTGGAAATTCATTGTGATTGGCACATTGATAACACCAAAGACTGTTCACCAGAAGGACTCCTCTCCAGGTTCAGGGGGTTCCTCCTTGCTCCTGTTCCTTTAAGAGAGACTGTCTTTGCATCCTCAGTGCCTAAGATAGTTCCCGGCCTAATATGAAATCTCGACACATATTTATTCTTAAGCTCCTTATTTATTTATTTTTAAAGATTTATTTATTGATGCACATAGAACTGGGGTACAGGCCAGAGGTGCAGGGGTGGTGAGAGGATGCACCAGACAGAGTGGGGAGCAGAACAGGCAGATCGACAAAGTACACTGCTGAGGGGAGCAGCAGATGGGCCAGGAGAGGTCTGCCGCGCCATGTGGGCACCTCTAGGGCTGGGGCTTGAACTCCCACTGCAGCGGCTGAGGCCAGCTTGCAGTGCTGTGCCCTAACCCGTTGCGCCACCAGGGAGGGCCCCTTAAGCTCTTTATTTTTAAAGATAGTACAAAATGGTTGCATAATAGAATTTTCATTCACTTTAAATGAATGGCACCTAAATTCACAAAGATTTATTGTTTTTCATATGGTGTTCTGTGACAGGGGAATATAAATGTAATTTAAACACCTGCTTGCTGGCATCTATTACCCAGAATGGAAGGTTTAAAAAGTTGCCGATCTTATTTTCTATCTTGAAGTGCCCATGCTGGAAGTAGTCAAGCACCTGGGAAGCAAGTGATCTAAAAGCTTCTGAAAATTCACCAAGATGCTCAGGGTAAGATTAGGTTGGGATTGTTGTAATTAGGAGTAGAATTTGAGCTTTGAAAAAACCCAGGATTTTTTGCAGACTGACTAAAATCTACTGCTGAGGGGAGCAGCAGGGAGACAGGAAAGTTCTGCTGCACCCTGGAGGTCACACCCTGGCCAGGATTCGAACACGTGCAGCAGTGGCTGCCATTAGCTTCATAGTGCTGAGACTTAATTCCCTGTATCCCCAGGTAGCTCAAAATACCCAGAATTTTTAGACAAATTAGTGATGGTTTCAGAATGAAAGACACTTTAAAACCCAATATCGTATGTACATTTTGAGGAAAATGAAAAGTATTTTAATTCAAACCTAGTCATTTACTGAAACTGGAGATGGAGAAACTTTTTGCAGCTTATGAATTAATACCCTCTCCTGTGAAATACTTTGTCAATAGTGGGAGCATTGAGGGTTGGTGCCAGAACTGTTTGGTTGAAGCCAAAAGTTTGCTTTACTCATTACTCTGAAGATTTCAGAGATCCGCTGTGCTGATTTGCACTGAGCAAGCTAAAGGGTCCAGGCTATCCAGCTATCCTCTCAGGGAATCCCAGCCAGAAAGATGACATTTCACAAAGTTTTCTGCTTACGATATTCAGTTCGCAACCTGATTTTCAGAGAGGTCCTCACGTGGGGCCAGCTTCACTCATTCACCCAGTTTGCGTTGAGCACTCTATTTAACGTCTACTCTGTGTCAAGCTCTCTGCATGAAGACCCAGCAGCGAACAACTGGACACGTTTCTACCTTTGAAGAAATCATCGTCTGGTGGGAGACTGATATGGAATCCATGAGCAAATAGATGAGTAATAATATTTCAGATTGAAAAAATCATTTTGGGGAAATTAGAAATAACAGGATAATAGAGAGTGATTGGGAAGTGTAGGCAAAGTCCCATTTGGACAGAGCTTGCAACCCTTGAGCTGGTGAAAATGTGTGTCTTATCTTAGAAACTGATTATGCCAACCTATGGCATGTGCAGCCACGTTCTCGTGTGAAGCTATGTTCTGCTTGTCCGGCAAAGCAGAGGCCTGGCATTTCTGTCCCCCAAAAGGCTTTGTAGTATTGATACTTATTTGCTGAAGTCCTGCTGCTGTGCTTTGGGGACTACGGTCACTTATAGCCTCCTCATGAATCTGTCATGAAACTTCCATGAGCTCCCTCAATGAGGAATGATTATCCCTCCTATATGACTTTGTATAAAGCTTAAGACAAATGATCAAATGACCAATAACTCCATAACCCTCAGATTAATAGTAATAATTAAATAATCAAATGTCAACTATGGCTTAGTATTCTATAACCTTCCTAGAGTTATTCTATGGAATATGGAGTTATAGGAAATTCTACCTTAAGAAGATGTCAGGCTAGATGGGTCAAGATATATACATATGAAACAGTGGACACTAAAACCGTTAAATTGGTGGCCACGACTATAGCTGTGAAGAATTTTCAAAGGGAGCAAAGTTTGACTGAGTATTTATTACAAGTGACACAATATGCGAGGTTATCCTATAATCCTAGTAACCACCCTGGAGGATTTGCGATTCAACCCCTATTTTATAGATAAGGAAACTGAAACTGGTAATGTGCAAAAATCACCAACCTTGCCAATAGCAAAGACAGACATCCGCGAAGATGTTTCTCCCGAAGAGGCTGACGGGGCCACAGGAGAAGAAGAAGTGTTCCTGGAGGAGGTTGGCCTTGAGTTGTCCTTTGACTAAGTTGTGGAAAATGCAGAAACTAAATTCTGCTTGTCCTGCAAAGCCAAGACCCGACATTTCTGTCCCCCTAAGGGTTTTATAGCAGTGACACTTACCTCAGTAAAAACAATGTAATAGCATACATACAGATGGCAAAAGTTACGTGACACTGGTTTCAAGAGGAACAGTGTTGACGCCTTTAAGTTAAATCTCCATTCTCAAGTTCAAGGTCTCCCGTGCTGCTCTGGACCCTGACTGAGTTCCTCTACGTGGGGAGGTGCCTGACCTCTGCAACTTGGGTAATTCTGACCCCTCCAGGGCCTCAGTGGGAACCCTCACTCAGGAAAGAACCCGTGGGGGGTTTGGGAGCTGATGGAGGAGTCGTCACATCACCCCAGCACCCCTCCCCTGACCAGGGCCCCAGGAACAGGTTCTGCTGCCACGTACTCCAGTCAAGTCCTCCACAGAGGCTTGCTCTCTCCCGCCAGGCGCATGGTACGGCGTGGGGTGGTGAAAGGGAACTTTGCTTCTGAAGACCAAGCAAACATTCATCATGTTTTCTTTCTTAGCTCATTTTACTGCTCACAGCATTCATCTTTTATGGGCCAGCCTCACGGCCTTTCCCACTTCAGATGCTTCCTACTCACACTTTCTGCTTTTTTAGACTTTATTGCGTCTCTGTGTAGGCATTGCAAACCAAAGAGGTTTTCAGTCCTTTTTCTTACTTTTGCCCAGCGAAGTTGAAGTGGACAGAGGGTGGCTGAGAGATAGCCAAGTCCACCCTCCAACAGTTTTCATTCTAGAAGTGCCTGGAATCTTCCAGGAGGATTTTGGGAGCGCTCTCCATCATGTCTTCCTGTGTGCACACCCTTCCTTCACCCAGGGCAGTTCCCAAGCTTTCTCCAGATGCTGTAGCAGATGAACCCTGAACTATTAGCTCACTCACATTTAGCTTTCACCTCACAAGTCAACATGGACTTCCGATCCAGTGACT